GTTTTGAATTTCTTTTTCATCCTAACATATCTTTCTTTATAACTTGTGAAAAGACATTTTGATTCAATTAAGAGTATTCATCTTTTCCAGTCTAATTTATTAGGCCCTTTGAGTGAACCAGTTGATTATGTTTGGACGAATGAAAATCATTTTATATTTTAAACGCTCTCAGTCATTGCCGCAGATGAAACGTAGAAGATTTATTGTGTTAAAACGACTTTTCATCACATCAACCTACACTTTACCTTTGTTGCACAGATGAGCCTCCCATGTCAGAGSTGGGCCACACCAACAGCATCTACAGCAGCCTGAGTGAGTCCTCGCCAGCCATGGGGGGCCGTCAAGGAGGCAACAACCATAGCTCCTTCCCACTGGAACACGGCGGGCTTCCCTCCCAAGACCAGTTTCATGATATACGGTCCAGCAGCCCCTACGGCCTCCCCCAGTCGCCTGGGTCGCTTCAGGCGCTCCCGAGACATCAGCCTCTCATCTCCAGCCTCTTCTACCCAGACTCGGGCCTTTCCATCATGACCCAGAGCGGCGGACCAGGTCTCAACCCCGCTGTAAGGGGTTCCCTTGGCGCRGCCAATGGCCCCAGCTCAGACGTATCCACTGGCAGCAGCGGTGGGTACCCAGATTTCCCTGCTAGTCCTGCATCCTGGTTAGATGAAGTGGACCATGGACAGTTTTGATTGGTTCCAAGAACTCGTTTCTTTACTTTCTTCTCAGTGTCTTCTGTTGGGTTCAAGAAATGCAAACTAGATACAAAGCTCTGCAATTGAATGGACTCGGATCTTTTTAATACTCAACTGACAAAAGTCCCTAATTTAAAACTTAAGGCCTTCCACCAGTTTTTCTGTCCAAAACATCCCATTTTTGATACCACTTTAAGCTTTTTTGAAACACAAACCACAGACATAGACTCAGAGATTTAGATATTTGGTACTCAGATAATTGTGTCGTTGACATTTCATCCCACTGCTCTTTTGTTATCCTCAGCATGTTCAGGTGAAGGATCCACTTCAACATTTGGAGTCGTCAAATGTCTGGTTGTTGCCAAATGTCTAAATATATACAGTATGTATAAATATATATACATAAATATAAATGGTTTATGATTGTTGGAGACTTTATTTTTATACAAACCTCCGTGTTGAACACAAAGAAGAACCTGAGCATGAGGACTTTGTAAATTCTTGAGCTGGGACTTAGGCGAAAACATAGATGTTGTCTTAAACGGTACCTTGGGGTCCAATTACTACTATGCATTTGTGTGTTCTGAGATGTATCTTGTTTGTTTTTGTTGTACTGGAAACCACCTCAGAGATGGGAGCGGAGGAGTGTGGTGGGGGGTGGGGTGGGGAGGAGGGGCCGTGGTGTATATGTTTGTTTATGTGGAAAATGTTTTATGTTTTATTTATTCCCTCTGGTAATGATGATGATTCATGATTAAATGGCAGGACTTTAATAAATTTGTCTAACTGAAAATGGAGTTTAGATGCTTACTCTCTTTTTCTTTTTTTTTCTTTTGTTTTATAATCGTCCATAAACATGCATATTTTGTGGTTAAAAAATGTTTTTGCTCACAAATAATTGCTGTTTAAAGTGATGCTTATGGTTCAGAGAAAAGCTGTGAACAATTAATATCTTACCTGTTGCATATAGCTCAGTTACTGTATGTTTGGACAATTGGAGTTTATTGTTTCAACAGATTTAGAAGCAGGACTTTATGAAAATCTTTTATAAACTTTTACACCAGTGTGGATTTTGCACTGCATGATTATTTCAGGGAGCAAAAAAGTTTCTATTTTCTCGTGAAAATACTCATAAAATGGTCCAAGAGTACATGTTTTCATATGACTRTTTGGTACGATCTTTTAGGACAGCATATTATTAACCGGCATGACAGAAAAGAGGCAAAGGAAGATCTGTACTCTGTCAAACAAAGTTATACTGGTTCAAGATGATGCAGGAGCTTAAAGACCTGCCTGTTTGTTTTAAACTTGTGTCGAAGTGTTTTGCAATCTSTGCGATCACAGATGGCTGCAGGTGAGAGACAAGAGGGGCCTGTACGGCAATTTGGCAAATAACTTCTTCCTTTCAGGGTCACTGGTGCCCATGTCCAGCAGTCCCTGTGGGAGGGGGCAGGGTACACCCTGGACAGGTTGTAAGTCCATCGCGGGGTACTGTGTGGCAATCAGATGGATTATAAAATACGTCCTTTCATGGCATGCCATTTGTATTTTTAATATTTTCCAACACTAGCTCCCATCCAGCTGAGAAGCTGTGTTTCACTTTTTTTCTAACTTTGCAAGATGTTACACAATTTTGTGTTATTTATTTTTTATCTACAGAAATTACTTTGAGAAAATGTGATGGTTTTTTGTTTTATTTTGTTTATGCACGTGTGTGTGTGTGTGTGTGTGTGTGTG